GGGGTATGGCTGCGGTGTACCCTAAACCCTAAACCTGCTTCAGGCTCGGGGTTGATAAGGTTTAGGTTGGTTACTGCGCCCACCCAGTAACAGTCTATATTAGGGGTCCTATTAGGGGCTATATATAACCATAGTATAATTATTATCCAACTGTTACTGAGGGGCAGCAGTACTTAAAGGATACCCAATAGGGTTTGGGGTTTAGGGGTAGCTCCAAAGGCAGGAAGTATGGCACAAAGTTTCGATCAACAGCGCCGTTGCTCCAGGCTGCAGTGGTCGTGGCCAGAAAAAAGCAGTTCGTGCTGACCATTGCAGCGGAGGAGAACAGGCCCCTATATAACCCATTACAGTAGTTTCCATTTTCTTTTCCATTATCCCAATATAACCCAAATATGACCCCTATAACCCCTATATAACCCATTATAGTAGTTTCCATTTTCTTTTCCATTATCCCAACATAACCCTCTGTTGACGGTGAGTATGTTGTAGTCAGGTCAGCGGCTGTTCGCAGGGCTAGGAGGCCTTTGAATAAACCCAATCAGTTTAATGCCATTAGAACATGTTTATAGGCTTATATCTTGAATGAGACAAGTCAGAGAGGGATTCGCAACAGCGATTTTCGTAGCCTACGGGAAACAGGCATTTCCCCAGGGCTCCAAGTATGCAAATAATGCCTAGTTTGGGCCCTCACGTCTGTAAATATTACCTATTTGGATCCCTATACATTCCTCTAACCTCCATGCTTCCATTTCATTTCTCATTGGCTTCTCCATTTGATTCTCCACAATTGGCTATACATTGGGCTATTTGGATCCTTAAGCCCTAAACCCTAAACCTTGAACCCTAATCCCTAAACCCTAAACCTTAAACCCTAATCCTACACCCTATATTACCTAAATTGGGCGATTTGGATCCCTAGGGTTTGTTTGAGTAACATTCGCTGCTTGTCACGTGTGCCCTGTGCAGGTGGCCGATCCGCGGCCTCGGCCTTAGGATTTAGGGTTTTAGATTTAGGGTTTTACCGGATTTCGGGTTTAGGATTTACGGTATGAGATTTAGGTGTTAGGAGTTCGGGTTTAAGATTTTTGGGTTCAGGATTTAGGGTTTCTTGTTGAGGGTTGAGGGTTGTAGATTTAAGGTTCAGGGTTCATACAAGAACGAACCTTCTATGTTGAGGGCCGGGGATCGTTATGAAAGACACTTGGGCGGGACTGAGGGTTTGGTCAGGCCTTCAGGTTAGTGTTGTAGAAATTGCCGTATCTGAGAGCTCAAATAAAGACGCGCAAAGTCCAGTTTTAATCGCTTATGGCTGGAAGATCTACGTTTTGATGGCCGCCCAAGTTGAGCCAAGGTGACGACTACAAGATTGCGATCGACACTTTCAAGTTGACCTACTGAGCGACCTTCGCGTGGCCCATCATGCAGGGTCCTGAACAGTTAGGAAAATCATTCATTCCCAACCAGCCCCAATCACGTCAACTATGCCAAACCCGGATACCTATCTAAGTTATTCAGGGCTCTACATGAGGGAGTTTCAAGGGCACAGAGGTTGCGCGTGAAACTTCGTGGTTTTCAGTAGGCCTGGTGGGCTGTGCAACAGGATGTGAAAACTCTTGCTTCAAGTGAGCTATAGTCTAAACTTCTTAAAGGGGGTTATATAGGGGTGCTACCCTTTGTTCTTGTCCATACCCCTGGGGTTCCTAGAGGTACCTACCCTACATTGAGAAACTTCTAAAATCAAGCTCGAGTTGCATTGCCGGCCAGGTCGCCTATGCATTAGCCATTGATTGGCCTATTGGACTAAAGATTTTCGACTCTGCGTCTAGAAATAGAAGAAACATGGAGAACAGTAACAAGCCAGGTCTTTAAACTACGTGTAGTCAAAGGACAAAGTTTGGCAGCTCGGGTCACAAGCCATTGCTGCTAAGCTATGCCTGGGAAGGGGGGCTGCTAGGACATGCTTCAGCCTGATAGAAGCACGGTCATATGGCCACTCTTTTTTGGGGGATGCAAAGATCCGGGGGGGCATGTTGCGATCATTTCCCAGAGTCTTCTTGACAAGGTTCATGTGAGATGAGGCTTACGCTTGATGGGTGAGAGCTTCCTTTACCGTAGTAAGAACCCACGGCAGAACATGCAGCTGATGATCTGGGCTGTGGCAACGCCAATCTGAGCTGGGGAGACGTAAGTAGTTTTGTTGGCTGAAAGCTAGTGCAAGTTGTGCCCAGGCGATTCGACGAGACATCACACACCGGAAGTTCTCGACTTTGTTCTTTGAAATGCTCCTGCGTGGAATACAGTAATCTGCTGGGTATCACACCCACAGGTGCGACACCGTAACTTTCAAAACAGGTTGTGCGGCATCTCGGTCCCTCAACCTGGCATTGCTGGGGGGGCAGTCGTAACAATGTACTAGCTACAACCTGGCCCTGAGGCGTCTGAGAATTGAGACAACTGATACAGGAATGTGGGAAATGTCAGCTGCAAGGTTCTGAGGCCTTCGCCCTCCTCTTTGGCTGGTCCCGCCGCACGACATGAGGCTTGGGGTTTCAATGGCCCCCTCTGAGCCAATCCATCTTGGAATGACTGGAAGGGCCCTTGATTTTGGGGAATGATAGAGCCTTCTCCTGAGTTCCATCCACGCTATGTGGTGGTGCGACCTCCGGTTAGGTAGTAGTGCTTGTCAGGTTGGGGGGTTCTACTGTTAAGCTCACAGCCATACCTGGCCGCAGACTGACGTTCGTATCTCAAACCAATGATTGAAATATCCAAGCGACCAACCCGAGCCTGCTGTAAGGCGCCCTAAACCCTAAACCCTATAACCCCATTATAGCAGTTTCCATTTTATTCTCAATCATCCCAATATTACCCCAATCTATGCAAAATCGTGGCATGCATACCGCTGCTGTCCAGCTGTCCCTGTTGCTCAGTGCAGCAGTGATACATGCTTTTGGGAAAATGATGGCTGGGGTGGAGCTCCAGCAGAAGGTGCGCCGACCGGGGCTCCGTACGTAAGGTCACTTTCTCAGAGGGATACCTCAAGTCTTACAATGAATCTTGGCTGTTGAGCATGTTTCTCATGAAGTCCTTTCTGCAATTCCCGTCGGTGGGGTTCGCACTGCTTACTTTAAGTGAGGAGCGGGCAGAACGGCATCTCTGCACTTTGAGTCGGGTTTAGTTTCGTGGTTGGGGTTTTTCAGGCTTGCAGAGAGCAATTAGCAAATTGAGGGCTCCTCATTGCGATCTGGTCCATGTCTGTTGCTTCTTTTCAGAGGTTTGAGCTAGAAACAGGGTGGTTTATTCCAGGACTTGTTCATAGTTTGGGGCAAGTATCAAAGCGACCGGAGAGCTTTGGAACAGCGCTATGCAGGGCGGCAGGCCTAAATTGATCGCTCGCCTGCCACATACCCTACCTGTGTCCGCCACGGTCCCAGTATACCCTACATGCCCTACCTGTACACCATATATATACATATACATACACATATGGTGCCATGTATGCGGCATTATACATGTCTGCATGTACCCTGAAAGAGTACAGGGATCCTCCTGCTCAGCTGATGCGCCGTTTGCGGCTGCTGGGTGGTGCAGCTGCTGGGTGGTGCAGCTGCTGCGACCTTGGTTGCTTCTGAGAACTTGCAGAAACGTGCCACAAGTACTTCAGATTTGTCTCCCTGACTATCCTAGTCCTATGCACTAGTTGCTACTTGTACTACTTTATAGAAATACAACCTTTTCTTGTGGCATTGCAGGAAGGCAGCTGCCCTATAAGATTGCGGTTAGCCGGATGCTTTGCCTGGACGTAGGCCAGAACATGATTCCTGAATGGTTCCGTACCCCAATCCCTCTGTTGTTGGTTGTACGCCCGCGTGCACGGCCTGGCAACCTGGGAGGGTCCAGTTTCGCATGATTGTTCTTTTAAAAAGTAAGGTGAGTCTAATATGCCCAAGACCCTATATTGGGGTTATATTGGGATAATGGAGAATGCAATGGAAACTGCTTATACAGGGATACTAGAAAATGAAATGGAGCCCAAAAGCTTTGAAATCTGAGCCTTGCTTGCCAACGCAAGGAGCAGGATCATGTTCGATCCTAGTCGTATTTGGAGTATATATTGCCCTAAAGTCTTGCGCAAAGATCCCTGCAACGTAGACGTTATCGGTTTTAGATCTTAAGTTGATCAGGCTCCTCCTCACCTACCTGCACGCACGATTTTTTTTTTCACAAAATAGTTTATCTAGCGCTTGAGATGAAGCTGCCCTTCTGGCTCAAAATCTTACACTAGTGATAGGTACACCAAGCAGCCATTTTTGACATAATTATGTTGAAGCTTGTTTCAATTTCCCATGTTGTCGTGGGATTAGACTTCACAGGGCAGCAACAGCGGAAGCAGTAGTAGAAGCTGCCACCACCCCTGCTGTTGCCACCACCACACTGATTCAACCACCCTGATTTCAACCGGTGATACTACGACCTGTTCTACAACCCGTCAACTGAAATGAAAAGATACCAGCAATAAGATGGACAGGTGGTTCAATCGTGGAGTTGACATGTTTACCCTATTTAGAAAAGTTTGCCTCAACAACAGTTTAGGAAAGCGGGGTTATATGACCCCTATGTAATCCTTGCATAACCCGTATAACCCCTATATAACCCCAAGATAATCCAAACCCTAAACCCTAAAACCTATATAACCCCTATAATCCTTATATAGCCTCCATATAGTCCCTATACAATCAATTCAGCTGCTTAAGCAGCTGACACCATGGCGGGCCGGCCGCGGTATTTCCTGCGCTGCGCCTCTGTGGAAGAGGCTGAAGCAGTGGGACTAAGGACCTGGTTATAGGGGGATATAGGGGGAAATAGGGATATATAGGGATATATAGGGATAATGGAGAAGAAAATGGAAAGTACGATTTGGGGTCTAGGGCCTAAGGGGGCTCAGTTGTAAGCACTACTCCCAGGACGATGGTAACTTAGATTGGGATCTTGGGGTGGATATGCTTGGGCGGTAACTTAGTTGGGATCTGAAGATAGATTATCCTAGGGTGGGGGTGGGGGTGTGCCATACACCTAAACAGCCAAGGTGGTAGCATCAGGGGCTACGCGGGTACGCGTAGCATGTATATGGACTCTGTAGAATGGATATCAAGCCGTCATTGACAATGCGGGGTCATGTCAGACGCGCAGAGTGCATTTTCATTCAGGGTGTTGCTGGAATACCACTTACAATGGGCTAATCAGCCTGCGCAGCTGGATGGACAAGGCTCTCATGATCAGTAGTTACGCGCTGTCCGGGTGCCCTAACAGCTTTAGTCTCAAGATCTACCTTTCCAGCCTTCTTTGCGGGTGGGCAAAGGAAAGCTTTGGAAGGACTCCACTTTTAGCGGCCCCGTGCCCAGGACGTGACTCAGGACATACAGGCTTCCACAAAATGATTCCCTACATGCAGCACGTAGAGCATCGAAGCGATTCTGCACAGGCTCCTCCGGTACCTGACTCTGACTGCCAAGGCCATGGCAGGGAATGTCACTGGGGATGACAGAGGGGGACGGACAGGGTTTGATCAAGATTTTGCAGGCCTGGGCAGTTTGGGCATACCCAACAGCCCACAGAATGCTGTCAGCGACAAAGCGGGCTTCTTCATGTCATATACCATGTTGGTGGGCTTCATTGTGAAGTTTTTTAAATCCCGGCACTGCAGGCTCCCATGCCCAGAACGAGCTTGAGCTAGAGGCCTGGCGACGAAAATCCGAGAAATGCGTGTGTTTTCTGGGTGTTTTCTAAAAGGGGTCTTGTCACCTGGTTCTCATACGAGGTGTTGAGGTAGGGGATGCTCTCTCAAACTGCCAATAGCCTTCTGCCGCCCAGCTTGCAAACCTCTGGAGTGCCTGGAGTCCCCTGCATGCCTCTTAATCATGCAGCCGCAGGTGGATTTAGATGAGATCGAGGCCTGCGCCACCCCCGCGCGGGCGAGTCGGGGCTCCAGCAAGCATAAGCACCGGGGGTTTGCAATATGTAGGACACAACCTATGTCATTCTAGGCTTTGGTGCCAAGGTGGCATCCCTTGCTGACCTGACCTTGCAAGGAAATTGCATACAGCTTGCCAAGTTGCAGTCAGTCGACTCTACCCCCCGAATCGTGTATCCAGTCAGCTCTGGCTTGTGGATCCTGGTCCAGTCCCTCAAGACTCCATAAACAGCCCAGGTTCGTCCGTGCGAGTGCCAGAGCTAATCCAGGCTTCCTTCATGTGGTAGTTTCCCAAAATAAGGGGACCCCAATATAGACCCCAAAATACTATAGCCCTTATTATGGGGACCTTCCAAGAGGGTACACCTAATTTTGGGAAACCCCCATGTTATTCGGGTCGCCATGCAAGCCTGGGCTCGGCTGTCTG